ACGTAACTTAACTCAAGCGCACTAACACGGCTCAACCCAACTCATGTACTCTTAATTTACCTAAGTTCATTCTTCAAGGTTTAAATCACCAAGACAATGGGTTCCGGTTGAAACTTAATTGAAATGTGACTTAAGATACACAAATGTTCAAACAAGCCATTCCCAACCTATTCACTAACTTTGAAATTACAAAAACCACTCACAGCTATTCAAAAATTTCCAATAGACCTCGATATGATCTAATATATATCCTAAGTTTCAAACCCAATTGTTTCCTTGCATTTGCTTAGTCAATAATAATTATCTTCAATTTTATTATATCCAAACAGGTTGTTTTCATGCAGCACTTTAAAGAAATTGACGGTTCTGCTTAATATACACGAGCATCAATGAAAGGCCATAAGGTACGAACTAGACTCGTAACCGGTTCTATGACAACTAATTTGATAATTTTTGGATTTATATACCAAAGAGAACAACACTATCTCCGAATTTACTGTTTTGGAACTGGTTTCCTGGACCAGTTTTCAATTACCTCAGTTTATATGGATTTTTGACTCCAAAAATTAATGAAAAATTCAGATATGCAAATCCAATATGTAATTGATCTACTGTAAAAATTTCAGTTCAAATTCATCCGTTTGATATGGTTTCTTGATTTTTAAAGTTTGTGATTCTGTACAGAATTTTTGGACTGAGAATTACACCATTCATTATACATGAATTTAACTCCTCAGATTTATTAACAATATATTTATATGCACACAAATTACATACACCTACAACCTCCCCATCAATGAATTAAATCGTAAAATAGAATAAGGATAAAGAACAAATATAAAATAAAGAAGAAAGTTAGAACCCTACCACACACCCAAAAGTTCTTTGATTGCAACTTCTTCTTCTTCTTTTTCCTTCTCTCAAACTCTCTCCCGTGGCTGTTGTGTTGTTGCCCTATGTGGTGAACAAATAATAGAATAGGGTTTGTGTTTATTTTATTTTATACTAGTGGTGGGCTCACATAGGTCAAATAAATAGATAAATATACAAAACATATATATAAGTTATATGCAACTCAAATGGTAAGAGCCTAACTTATTAATTTTTTGGTCTAGAGTTCAAGTCACACCCTCTTCTCTAATTTTTTTTTTTTAATAATAAATCTTGCTTCTAAATTAAATACTTTCACCATAAATTTATTTTAGGTTTTAAAAGACCTTCAAATATTTAAAATTTGCACCTTAGAATTCACCACCAAAATATTTGAGATTGTAATATTATTATTATCTAATTATTTACTTAATTTTTATATTCGGGTTCTCACATTCTCCCCTTCTAAAAAAAAGTTTCGTCCTCGAAACTAACCTGAGTAAATCATGAGAATAGATGTGGGTACTTCTCGCGCATCTCGTCCTCGCATTCCCAAGTCGCCTTTTCAACTAAATGATTACGCCATAGTACCTTAACCAATTTAATGACCTTTGTATGCAACCTTTTTTCTTTCGAATCCAAAATCTGAACAGGTATCTCCTCATACGAAAAATCCTCTCTAATCTGAAGCGGCTCATAATCTATCACATGCGACGGACTGTGCACATATTTCCTCAGCATAGACACGTGAAACACATTATGCACTCTTGCCAACCTAGGGGGTAAAACAACACGGTACACAACCTCACTAACCTTCTCTAATACCTCAAATGGTCCAATGTATCTAGAACTCAACTTTCATTCCTTTCCAAATCTGATGACTCCTTTCCATGGTGATACTTTCAAGAATACCATATCCCCCACATGAAACTCTAAATCTCTCCTACGATGATCAGCATAACTTTTTTGTCTACTCTGAGCAGTCAATTATCTCTTTCTAAAGGTGATAATTTTCTGTGTAGCATCCTCCACCAAATCAAGTCCCAACATTTCTCTTTCACCAACCTCATATCAACACAAAGGAGACCTACACTTCCTTCCATACAAAGCCTCATAAGGGGCTACTTCCAAACTAGAATGATAACTATTATTATATGCAAACTCCATAAGCGGCAAATAATCATCCCAATTACCTCTCCACTCCAAAGCACAAGCCCTCAACATATCCTCAAGGGTTTGAATAGTCCTCTTCGATTGCCCATCTGTCTGAGGGTGATAAGTTGAACTAAAATTTAACCGAGTACCCATAGCTGATTGTAACGCACCCCAAAACTTAGACACCAAACGAGGGTCCCGATCTGACACTATTGACACTAGTGCACCATGCAATCTAACAATCTCCTTCACATACAACTGTGCAAATCGAGCTAGAGAACAGGTCATCCATACTACAATAAAATGTGCTGACTTGGTTAATCTATCAACAACTACCCAAACTGCATCGTGATTACTACTAGTATGAGGTAAACCACACACAAAGTCCATAGTAATATGATCCCACTTCCACTCTGGTATAGGTAAGGGTTATAGTTTCCCAGCAGGTTTCTGATGTTTTACTTTAACCTGTTGACACACCAAACATTGAGACACGAATTCTGCAATATCTCCCTTCATACCATTCCACCAAAAATGTTCATGAAGATCCCGATACATCTTAGTGCTTCCTGGATGAATGCTGTAACTAGAACTATGTGCCTCCGTCATAATCTCCTTCCTCCAATCACCACCAGCAGAAACACAAATTCGGCTACGGAATCTAAGCAACCCATCATCACTAACCACAAAGTCTACATGCTTACCCTCTACCATCTCTCCTTTAATACGCTCACACTGGGGGTCAATCTCCTGAGCTAAACGAATCCGTTCTCTCAAGGTCGGCTAAACTGTCAATCAACTACAATAAGCCCTATCACCAGGCTTAATAACCTCAAGCCTCAAACGTCTCATGTCTTCCAGAAAACAACTCTTAATACACAAAGCAGCTACATCTCTAATTGAGACCTTCCTACTCAAGGCATCTGCCACCACATTTCCTTCCTCGGATGATACAAAATATTCACATCAAAATCTTTTAACAATTCAAGCCATCTTCTTTGCCTCAAATTTAGTTCCTTATGTGTGAAAATATATTTCAAACTCTTATGATCAGTGTAAATCTCACATGACTCTCCATACAAATAATGTTGCCAAATCTTAAAAGCGAAAATCATTGTTGCTAACTCCAAATCGTGCGTAGGATAATTTCTCTCATGTACTTTCAACTGTCGTGATGCATAAGCAATCACCTTCCCATGCTGCATGTGAACACATCCTAAACCCTATCGTGAAACATCACTATAAATCACAAAACCACCACCATTAGTAGATAAGGCAAGGATTGGAGCTGATGTCAACTTCTGATTAAACTCTTGGAAGCTACACTCACAATCATCATTTCACTCAAACTTTACCTCTTTCCTAGTGAGATTTATAAATGGCAAAGCAATATGGGAGAATCCTTCCACAAACTGTCTATAATATCCAGCAAGCCCTAGAAAGCTACGTATCTCTGTCACAAAAGTAGGTCGCGGCCAATCAATAATTGCTACCACCTTCGTGCTATCCACAAATACCCTATCTTTACTTACCACATGACCCAAAAAGGATACAATGCTCAACCAAAATGCACACTTCTTAAATTTTGCATACAGTCTCTTCTCCCTAAGGATCTGAAGTACTACCATCAAATGCTGCTCATGTTCCTCCTTACTCGATTAAATTAGGATGTCATCAATAAACACTACCACAAATTTATTCAGTTGGGGTTTGAATACTCTATTCATCGAATCCATGAATGCGGCTGTTGCATTTGTGAGACCAAAAGGCATCGCCAAAAACTCATAATGCCCATAACGGGTTCTAAAAGTAGTCTTAGGAACATCCTCATTCCTTACTTTCAACTGGTGATAGCCTGACCTCAAGTCAATCTTAGAGAATACCTGAGCTCTCTGTAATTGGTCATCAATACGTGGCAAAGGATACCTATTCTTCACTGTGACTTTGTTCGGTTCTCTATAATCAATACACAATCTCATAGACTCATCCTGTCGCGGTATATATAGTTTTGGCAACTAAAATATTTTAGTCGCTGAAAGAAAAATAAAAAATTATTTTTTATGTTTCGCGACCAAAAGTTTGGTCGGCAAAACTTTAATTTCAGCGACTAAAAATTATTTTGGTCGCGGTATATATAGTTTTGGCAACTAAAATATTTTAGTCGCTGAAAGAAAAATAAAAAATTATTTTTTATGTTTCGCGACCAAAAGTTTGGTCGGCAAAACTTTAATTTCAGCGACTAAAAATTATTTTGGTCGCGGTATATATAGTTTTGGCAACTAAAATATTTTAGTCGCTGAAAGAAAAATAAAAAATTATTTTTTATCTTTCGCGACCAAAAGTTTGGTCGGCAAAACTTTAATTTCAGCGACTAAAAATTATTTTGGTCGCGGTATATATAGTTTTGGCAACTAAAATATTTTAGTCGCTGAAAGAAAAATAAAAAATTATTTTTTATCTTTCGCGACCAAAAGTTTGGTTGGCAAAACTTTAATTTCAGCGACTAAAAATTATTTTGGCCGCGGTATATATAGTTTTGGCAACTAAAATATTTTAGTCGCTGAAATAAAAATAAAAAATATTTTACCACCACCACCACCACCACCACCACCACCAGCACCTCATATCCACCACTTTCACCACTACTGTCGCTTCCTCTCCTCTACTACAAAAAATTAGTTATTGATTTTTAGTATAAAAAAAAATCGGCCACAAAAAAAATATTTTTCATTGACCATAAAAAATTAATTTTATTTTAACAAAAAATATTTTTCATTGAAATATTACCCCTACTTCTACCAAATAAAAAAAAAATTCATTAAAAAAATGAAAAAAAAATTTTCCCTTTTTTTCACTGACCCGCCCGGCCAAAAATTTTTTTTCCCTTATTTCCGTTTTTCCCCCCCTTTTTCATTTCCTTTCAGGTTTGCAGAGCCCTGTTTCGAAACAACACGTCTCTCTCTCTCTCTGAGCGACGAGCGGCGAATTTTGGTTCGAGTTATGAGCTCCGAAGCTGCTTCTTCAAAGCTTCTTCACCAATTGCTGGGACCAGAAAATGTGCAGCGTTGGTGTCGGGGTTGTCCTCTGTTACTTCACCAACGATTTCATCGTTCAACGAGGTTCCAATCAGCTCAATCTCTGTTTTTCTTTGTTAAAAAATGGTTTTGATTTTTCGGTTTTTGTTTTTTCGTGCGATTCTGATTTCTATCTACGTGGGTATCTGTATTACGATTACTTTCAGTTTACCAGTGTGTTGTAAATGTTTTTTATGATTTGCATTTCCATCGCTTTAAGAGACCTTGGGTTTTGCACTGCAGGTCGAAATATTGAAAATCTTGTTATGCATAGTGTGCTTAGCTTTATTGGCAAAGTAGATGTAAGGTATGTGATAGATTATCCTCTATGTTTATTAGTGCTGTGTTTTGTATTTATCATCTTCCTGATTTTATTTAATTTTCTTATAAATTTTTGGCAAGTCCCAATACATATCTCCTACACCAAGAGCTGCTTAACTTCATGCTCGTAGCCATGTCAACTCAGCTTCTTTCTGGGCCATCACCAGGACCCAAGGATATTCACCCATTCATTGATATGGCAATGGTCCAGGTGACAAGAACTTCTTACTTTTTTTAGCTCGTCCAAAATCTGCAGTTCTTTTAACAGGTATTGCTGTTCTGTCAATTTGCTATTACATTTTCAGGAAAGCTCTTTTGTTGGTTTGGTTGTTCGCAAACTGCTACTTAATTACATCATGCGACCTCACTTCGCCTTAAATACTGCATCTTATGACATGTTTTCTGAAGGAAATCAGTCCGGTGTTTTACAGAGAGTTGGTTCTGCAACTGGTATGGTGGTTTATTTGATAATGCTCAGTTTTTACAAGTAGTCAGCTGGTATGGTTTTATTCTGTTAATATGCAGTATGCATCATACTTGGATTGGGATGTTTTTTGTTTTACAATGTTGAGCAATCAATAAACAATTAGGGCATTTAGGAGGATTGATTGAGTTTTTATTACTCAGAAATTAACTTATGGAGACCCTTTTTCTTACCTCTCCTGATATTTGAACCAGAAATTCTGGTATAAATTAGTGTAAGAATTTGCACCAGGGGAACAACTACAACATTGTAGTTCTATAAGAGTTTGCACCAGGGGAGATATGTGTCAGTCTTACCGAAGGGCAGTTCCAGCAGGTACAGATGGTGTTCGAATTGGAATGTAGTTCTATAAATAGGATGTATATAATGTACACTGTATTGATGAAACTTAATGTTTAATTTTGACGGGTTGAAATTCAAAGCATCAAGCAGATTCTTGGACTTCAGCATGGAAAACAATATGACAGTGTGAAGACTTTGAGATATGGTCATTTGATGATCATGACTGATTAGGTTTAAAACATGGATATTCATAATCCAGTGCCATCTCACCTGAAAATCCACTTTTCTCTACTGCATTGGAAACTGATCTTGTTTGTTTTGATGATCTTCTTTTTCTCTAATTTCCATAACATTTGTGGGGACAATTATCATAGTGTGGTATTTTATATTTTTCTAAAAAATTGTTGATGCCATGCTTAAATAAGTTGTAATGTCAATCTAACTCGGTTGCACTGTTCATTGATCACTTTCACACGGTCTTCTTTGTTTGTTTTGTTTTGTTTTGTTTTTTGGTTCATTTCCAACACAATTATGATTGAAATCAGTTGAATCACAGATGATGATGGTTCTTATTTAGATCCTTTGTTGGAGACACTGTGGAATATATTATCATGTGCATCATACTCCCTTCTAAGATCTATCTTCATGCTTTCATATACAGGTGTCATTCTGCACTTATCTGATGTGTTGATATTTTCTCCTCCAATTGTATTGATGGTAGGATGGTTTTTTGATGGTGATCCATTTTGTTCTTCCTACCCTTCTCTTTTTAGTGGCATGCTTAAATCTTATTGAAACTTACCTCAGGTGTTCTCAGCTTTTGGCTTTGTCCACAAGATTGCAACTTTTGAGAAGGCTGCAGGTTTTCAGGTGTGATGTCGAAAATCGCCTTCTTCTTCTTCTTCTTCTTCTTCTCTCTCTCTCTCTCTCTCTCTCTCTCTCTCGTTTTTCTTGTATTTTTTTGGTATCTGCATTGGTCTTTCTGTACTTTTGTAAATTTGCCACCTCCAACCCAACTTTGACTCGAAGATGTAAATCACCAATCTCTAAACCAATTGAGCTTCTTTTTTAAAACAGATGGTGTAATGTCTCCCATCCTGAATTGAAACGATATTGTTTGATTTGGGCTACCCTTGTGACTTTAAAACACGCTGTTATTAGGAAGAGATGTGAACTCGTTTATATAGCCCAAGAAGTTTTCAGAAGTCAGAACCACACGTCCTTGTGTTGTGTGTGATGATGCATTTAACTTTGCACAAAAAATGGAACAAAAAATATGTCGAAAGCTGGGGACAAGAAAGCAAAGACTTCTGAAGTAGCAAGGGAAGCTTCTCTGGATCCTCTGGCACAGAAGCTCCAACAACAAAGGTGATGGTTTGTTTCCTGCTTGGCTTAAGAAAAAGAAGTTGCAATAAATCACATTCATATAACATAGTTTAACAATATTAATTACAATATGCTGCATTCTTTCCTTAAGTAGTAAAAACAATGCTTAAAAAATTCATTTATATAGTTATGTCAACTATTAGGAACAACAGTTTGATTTGTTGACCCCTGCCCTCCTTCCATAAAATCACTTGCATTTATAGCTGAGGTGAAACTAATTTCAAGAAAGTATTTTGTTTGAGGATACATCATAAACATATTGTTACTAAATGGTACACATTTGCGGAAGGCTTAGTTCTATTATTAACTTTAATGTTTTACTTGTGTAATGTGACACCTAGTGTGTTGTACAGATTGGAAGAATTTGATTAGTGACAAGTGTGTAGCAACTGTTATACTACTCAATTTGGAGTAATTCTGGCTTATAAACAAAAAATATGGTTTGACTGGCATTCTAGCAACTGAGATCTCCTACTTGTTTCCTGTTCGACTTGTGCAAAATATGAAGCAAATGTGATGATATCCTTGAAGTAGTTGATTTGCAAGTTTAAAAAATCTAATAGTTCTTGTTTAATGGGCAATCCTCTAACTTCAAAACTAATTCAAATTATTATTGTTATCCTCTTCTGATGAAACCTTGTTACTGATGAAGTAGATAATACAAAACACTACGTAGTTTTATTTGAGATAGTTTTAAGATATGTTGCAATATGTCATGTATTGATCACTAGTTTTTCTATTTGAAGACAGGCTTTGATCCTTGCTCGACTTCTTGGTCAGCGGATTGACTTGGACAACATAAAGGTTTGGACATTGAGATGGTATACTTGTATATCTCCACTTTCAAATCAAGTATGACCAGATTTATATGTAGTTTCTACTTTAATCTTGTAGGTTGAAAGCTTGTATCCTGAAGAAATGGGACCAAATATAATGCATGTTGAAGATTTTTTGGTGCATGGCCTTCCACTGCTTGATAAAGGCATCCAAGAGAGGGTTGAAAATTGATGAGCAGAGCAGCAGTCATGTGGGTAGATGAGCAAGATGGGGAAGCAATTGAGCTTGCCTTCAGTAAGAAGAAAATTGAAGCAAGGAAGAATGGCCCAGCAAATTGACAGCAGAACATAACAGAACAAAGCAAATCTGTGGGCAGAACATAACAGAAATGTGATATAAGGCCATAATCAATCATGTCTGTTCAAGGCCAGAATCAATCAAATCTGTGGGTTCAAGGCCAGAATCAATCATGTCTGTTCACGAACCAGACGAGCACCCTCCCCAACATATTTCTTAACAAGTTCACGAAGCTAAATTGTACAAGACTACTTGGCAGTATAAGCATTTTTGGGAGGATTAAATATTTTTGGATGGATGTGTATGGATAACAAATATTATTAGTTTTATTTGTTGATAGCTGCGCATGGATAACAAATAGTTATGTTTCAAATTGTTATGCTAGATGGATGTGACTTGCGAATGAAAACTTAGAATAGTTGTATTGTGTCGAATGTTAATGAATTATGTATTGTGTCGAATGTTAATGATTCAGTTAATTTGAATGATGCTTTAAAATTATAGGTTTATTATGGATTGAATGAATTATTAGGAATTACAAGTGTATTGTTTTATTGCTTTGGCGACCAATTTAATAGTTGCGACATCCAAAATAATTTTTTTTTTGCAAAAAATGACAATTGCCGACCAAAAGTTTTGGTCGCAAAAAATATATGTATTGCCGACCAAATAACTCTTGGTCGTGGAATCTCACTTTTGCCGACCAAAAGTTTTGGTCGCGAAAAGACACAAATGGCGACCAATTTTTTTGGTCACGGAATGTGATAATTGGCAACCAAAAAATTTGGTCGCGAAATGTAATAATTGGTGACTAAACTTTTTGGTCGCGAAATGTGACAATTGGCGACTAAGAAATTTGGTCGGGAAAATATCACTTTTCGCGACCAAAGTGTTTTGGCGACAAAATAAATTAGTCGCAGTAATTAAATATTTAGCGACCAAAAATTTAGTCGGCAAATCCAACTTTTGCCAACCAACCACAATTTTGGTCGCGAATTACTTTTGCCGACCCTCAATTGGCGACCAAAGTAGCGACCAAAAAAATTGGTCGCGGATAACTTTTGCCGACCAAAAATTGACTTTTAGCGACCAATTTTTTTGTTGCCAAAAGTGTTAATTCTTGTAGTGTTGGTAGTGGTAGGTGGCCGGTGGCAGTAGTGAGTTATGGAGAGGAAAGAAAGAGTGACAACTTGTTTTAAAAATAAATGAAAACACCTTTTTCTTCCAAGAATTTTAAAAATTTTGAAATCAAATTTTTTTTATTTTGTTTTATGTTATATATAAACAAAAATACCAAAAAAGCATTCGTTCTTAATCTCTATGAAATGAAAACAAAAATAGAAAATAGAACCGTTATCAAACTAGGCTTAACAAAAATGTTTAAAATTTAAATGTATGTTGGATGCCTAGTTGAGTTATTGGTTAAAGTTGAATTCACGGATGAAGGTTTTTTTTTTTTTTTTTTTTTGGAACAGCAACTTCACAGATGAAGTCGGGGCATTATGAGACTAATTTGTATCTATCTCATATGATAAATTGAGAAAAACTTGCATGTAAAAAATTAGACTGATTAGACATAAATAATTATATGATCAAATCATATATATGTTATAACGAATGGACGGTCTATTCTTAAAAATATGTAGGCTATATAGATAAAAATGATCGAATAGTACGACAATTGATATTTGATCAACTTAAATTTTTGCATGATTAATTTTCTTAGTTAGTTGTATAAGATAAATGGCTTAGATTACTAAAGTGAATCCAAGTTAGTCCGATAATGAGTCAACTTCACTATAAAGTTGGGACCTTCAACTTTAGCAAATTTGAACTCCACTTAACTTGCAACTCCATTTTTGTTGTCTCATACTTTAATAATTTGATATACACATTATAAGTTTAAAAAATTACCAATAAATCTTTATTTTATTTTATTTTTATTTTTAAATGTGTTATCAATTTTATTGTGGACAACTAAATTTTATATTTGATCATTTATTCTCAAAAAATTAAATTCTCCATGATATATTTTATTCTGAGTATACGCTTCACATCAAAATAAGAAGAACAAATTTTAAAATTTATTTTAAATAATTTTAAAAATTTTAAAAATAAGAGAATTCTATTAAACAAAAATATAGACGTAAGACTTATCCATTTTTGTTGTCTCATACTTTAAAATGTATATGAATTTTTCACTAAATTTTTTTTTCTTCCCAATTCTTTTAATGAAATATTAATAAAATTAAGCATTTTGGATTAGTTACCAATTTATTTTTCATAATATGATGTAACAGAAAATGATTTATATTATGCCATAGTTCTTTTGATTATTTATGATTTTGTTTGCTATATATATATATATATTTAATTTTTTCAATTAAAAATATTTTTAAATAAATTAAAAAAATTTATACAATTGTTATTCATAAAATAATAAGAAGGGTAAATTTAGAATAAAAAATACCATTAAAAAGAATTAAACTTTTTACAAATAAGTTATGAAAAAAATGACTTAATTGTCTACGTTAAAATTTGATACCACTTATTGATAATCTTGAAAGGGAAATAAGACTCATTGATAATTTTTCCTTTTAAAATCTGAACATATTTTTGAGGTGCTTAGGATTTTTTGTTTTTTTAGCATAGCATGTACTTAATCACTTAGAGCATCTTGAATATTCTAATATTTAGGTGGGGCACTGCTAAAGTAACAAAGTTCAATTAAAATAAAAATAAATCGCTAGCTAGCAATGTAGTGTATGGTATGCGTAACATAATGATTTTTTACTATGTTCGGAGAGCACCCAAAAAAACAGTATTTAATGATAAGGCACAGCAACCTGCAACAGATACAGAAGCTGCAACAGATACAGAAGCTACAGCAGTTGCATCACATGTGTAATATCCAGCTGTATAGTTTGTTATTTTTGTTATAGGTTGTTAGTTTGTTATAGAGTAACTGTCCAGCATTAACTGTGGTTAGGTAGTTATGGTTAAGAGTCAATTGCAGTGTATAAATATGACTTCATCCTGTACCAATGATATTAATTCAATAAACAATACATTCATTTTCTTTATGGTATCAGAGCTCTAGGCTCTTACGAGCAAGAAAGCTGCAAAGCTTCAGCTATGACTTCTTCAAACATCACACCTGCACCACCTGCAACAACTTCTGCAATTTCTTCATCAGTCTTACCTTCAAATCTCACTTTATTGATTTCTAATATGAGTTCTTTTGTTTCTGCCAAGCTTGATTCATCCAATTACATAATTTGGAAGAATCAGTTACAAAACATCTTGAAAGCTACAAAACTTCTTGGCTATGTAGATGGATCAGAGGTATGTCCTCCTGCAATGATTCTAGATTCTTATAATAATCTTGCAATTCCGAATCCAAATCATGAACTATGGACCACTATTGATGCTCATTTGTTAAGTTGCATCACTGCAACTTTGTCTCCATCCATCTTCACTACTGTTATTCAATGTAAAACCAGTCATGAAGTTTGGACTGTTCTT